TCAGACCAGCAAACACCAAGAAAACCTATTCTTTCTTATTAACTTTTACATGCCAAACTTTGCAATAAGTGCTAATGCTTTATACTGCACTTGGCATTTATAGTAAGGTAAACTGCAGTAAGAACAGTGTGTGTGCTGACCGCCCTCTTTTCTTACCCCCCCCTTTTACCCTTTTCCTTTTCCCCCCAAATTAGTAACTTTTTTATTTATTTGTTTGATACTTTCTACAAAATCCTAAGCTACAAGGAAATTGCCACCATAATCTACCAGGAAATGCCATCTCATAATCAAACATCCTCATTGCGCTATATTTTTTCAATTATACTTTAGCCCTGCAAAACCAGCATTCAGACAATGACTCATTCAAATCCTTTTCACAAATAACATTAATTGTGATATAAGGAATCCAGGTATCAAGTTAAGGTAGTAATATGATCAATAATTTAACACTGCATGTAGAATTTTAAGTACAGTATCTTCTATAAATTATTCTCACTCCTGAACTAGCCACTAGTAATCCCATCAGAACACAGTGAAAAAGTGGGCAAATTATATCGAAATGGAAAGAAAAATTTACTAGAAACGTGTGATCATAGGAGTTTTGAAATTGCAGCACCAATTTATGGTCAAATTTTATCAGCAAGTCAAATGCCTTTCTTCATAACAACTATGATAGTTTAAAGAGAAATTTAAAAACCTCTGAAGAATAATTTGGGAGATAAATATCTCTTCTAGGTTTTATACCTATTTAAAATCAATTTTCTTCATGGTTATAGGTAACAGGTTTATAAGTCATAATATTTGTAAACTGCACTGAGATATCTGTGAGGTCTGTTTTGAGAAATTGTTTTATAATTAATAATTATCATTATTGATAATATGACAGGACAGACACGCACACACACACATACACACACACACCTTATTTTTAGATCTCTTCTGTATCTGAGAAAATATGCCATGAAATCTAAAAAGACCCCCATCTCACACTTAGAAACAACAGCTGGCAATTCCCTGTTACATTACCAGCAATATTTTTAGACTGTAATGCAATGCAGCCATAACACCATCTGTTACACAGACTCAGTATGATGAACAGCAGGGCACTGTCTATTCTGTGAACTTATTGAAAATAGAAAGCTTTGATGCACAGTGACTAGCTACATATATATTTAATACCAGGAATAATATATTCATTATTCTATTAAAATGCTCAATGCTCAACCACTAGTTCAAATACGTCTTGCTTATATGAACTTTTTGTGTGAATGCCTCTAAAATAAACTATAAACAATTACAACCTCATCACAATCAATCAATATAGTCAACATTTATCAAATGGCATGCCCCTCTATGACCTTGGTCACAAAACAGACTTTCTGATACATCATGCTACACACAAATTAGGGTCAATCAACTGAAGTTACTGGCATAATCTTCACTGAGTATTGGAATATACCTCATTAGCCAGGATTCCACCAATCTTACTGAAGGCAGGCATCTGAATACCATACTTTTCCAATTCCTTTCGCATCGCACTTATTTCTTCCTCTGAAATCAAAATTTTATAAAGGATTGGGGTAAATATTATAGAAATACTTCTTTGGGTGAGAATCAAAAAGAGCTTTATACCAATTTATTTCTCCTAATCTACAAGTTTTTCAAACAGATACACAAAACAATCCTATTGCTACTTTTTTCATGTTACCACTAACACATCTTTTCTTGTAACCAAATACCCAAATCAAAGAAAGATTAAATATTAATAATTATTTGTGGGCCTTTGCACCTTATTTTCATCATAAGGTGAACTTTTCCATAGGTAGCTTGAGCTCGTTGTTTTACCTGTAAACTTGATCTTGCCATAAAGATCCTGAATCTGAGGTGCCAATCCAAGCTTGAACATGTACAAACTGAAAAAATAAAGAGGAATTGAAATACTTATACAAACATGTTGAACAATTTGGACCAATCAATGATATAATTTGCAGTAAGAGCACACTTAATTTTATGCAGTTAAGCTGTTGTGATTGTACATCAAATTTTTTCTTGAACTAAATACAAATTGTGAGCATTTGTAACAATCATGAAGACATCAACTTTTTAATCGTCCAGATCCCTGTAGGAACCCTACCTAAGAGCATGTATACAGTAGATAACGCGGGGCATGTTCTTTCTGTCATAAATGTCTGTGGTTTCTGGGTAGAATATCTGAAATAATGCAGACAATCAAAACTCATTAATCAATCCAGTGCACATTTTTTTCTTTAAAATTTGTTTTTGAAAAATTGTCTTTCATACAAAAAATCTTGCATTGATAAGTTTTTACAGAGATGTATTTCTGCCATGTTTCACATTTTGTGATTTCTGGAGGAAAATGGAGACAATAGCAATTATTTAACATGGTCATTATGTAATCATTAATAGTTCTGGAAAAAGGTACCAGACCATTATATCAGTCCATGTATACATAAAAAGTCAAAGAGGATCATCAGCTTTAAAACTTTGCCCACAGACTTCCAAATGTAGTTTAAGTGCATGTCTCCAGTAATATATCTATGCATGAACACCAATCCCTCTTAAGAATAAAATAAAAAAACAATTCTTAAAAAAACAGTAAGCCGACAGAGAAAACAAGGACAAAGCATATAGCAGTCCTAGATCCAAGCCTGTAACTAGCCGACTGGAAAGAAATCTGACTGTTGGCTACCACACTGACAATAGCCCCAGTGTTTGCAAGCTATGTGATAGTTATTGATCTTTCTCACCCCTTGGGACAAGGGGTTAATTTACCAGTTGCACCCATATTAATCCAGCATAAAGTGTACCTGGCTGGCAATATTCTGGACTTCTTAAGTCAAGAACACAGGTTTCATATTCACATGTTTATGTAGCATGAAGGCATTTTTCCAAACAGGACTGTCTTAATTTTATATGATTAATATTTTGGGATCTAACATTAACATAGGTGAAAGTTTTAAAAAATGAAAAAAACTGAACACACAGCTTGCAATTTCTCATCACATCAAGGCCATGTGAAAAAACATTTAAAATGAAATCTGAAAGTCCTGAAATCAGGTATAATTCTGAAAACTTTCACCAATGCATTAAGAGCTATAAAAATGATTTAGTACCAAAAGCAAAACAACATGCTGACATGTCTTTTTATAGAATGATTTGTTTTATTAATGCATCAGTTATAACCTGAGCTCATGGTAATGCATAGCTAATTACTTGTTGGATAGATAGATGCATACTGGACAGAAAAACAAAAATGCTGCATAAAAATTGGGCTTGCTTTTACATAATATCTTTCAGCCAAATACATTTCAACATATTTCATTTCTTTTAATAAATTTTAAATATGTTTAGCTTATTGGCAAAATTTATCAGATGGAGTGAGCCAAGTAATCCATTTCTTTCTGTCTCCTTCAGTACACCTACACTTCTTAAATGATATAACCACCGTAGTCATTTGTAATGGCACTGTCTCACATGTGACCCTGAATCATTTTAAAATTGCAGGTATATATAATGCATGTCATTTCAAAGGCATTATCTCTAAAAAAGCTTACGATGACATTTGACTAGACAGATACCATCAGAGGTTTTGGCTGCAATTGAAGGGATGGGGGGGGGGGGGTCAAAAAATTATCTAAGCAAAACACTACACTAAGACCTCTCTCTAAGTACAATGCAATCCGACATCCACTTCTCTTTTTTTATTTCTGTCCTTTCTTCACACAAAACCAATTTAATCAGTTCTGATCTAAACTTACACCTGACCCATGACAAACATGACTACAACTACTCAAAACACATTTATGTGTTGAGATAACTCATCTTAATGGGTATGTGTTGACTTGACTGAACGGGATCAAGACTGTATAAATATCTGAGCAATGGTACTTCAGGTAGTTTTCTTTGAGGAAGAGGGCAGAAAGAAGTATTAGTAGAAGTACGGGAAGGTGACATATTTATATGCAGTTCCACATTCCTCTAGGTACAACAGGTTGTAAGGCAAGGGATAGCTTAGGCTTCATGTTTACAGACGGGCATTACAGTAGCCAACTACTTATATGCTCATCTTGGTAAATGGGTTTCTGTCTTCTCGGAGTCTTTTACCTCATACATTCTTATTTATCCTTATTCCATGGCAGTTTGTTTGTTTGTATGTTTGTTTGNTCATGGTAATGCATAGCTAATTACTTGTTGGATAGATAGATGCATACTGGACAGAAAAACAAAAATGTTGCATAAAAATTGGGCTTGCTTTTACATAATGTCTTTCAGCCAAATACATTTCAACATATTTCATTTCTTTTAATAAATTTTAAATATGTTTAGCTTATTGGCAAAATTTATCAGATGGAGTGAGCCAAGTAATCCATTTCTTTCTGTCTCCTTCAGTACACCTACACTTCTTAAATGATATAACCACCGTAGTCATTTGTAATGGCACTGTCTCACATGTGACCCTGAATCATTTTAAAATTGCAGGTATACATAATGCATGTCATTTCAAAGGCATTATCTCTAAAAAAGATATGATGACATTTGACTAGACAGATACCGTCAGAGGTTTTGGCATTGGGGGGGGGGGGCCAAAAATTATCTAAGCAAAACACTACACTAAGACCTCTCTCTAAGTACAATGCAATCCGACACCCACTTCTCTTTTTTTATTTCTGTCCTTTCTTCACACAAAACCAATTTAATCAGTTCTGATCTAAACTTACACCTGACCCATGACAAACATGACTACAACTACTCAAAACACATTTATGTGTTGAGATAACTCATCTTAATGGGTATGTGTTGACTTGACTGAACGGGATCAAGACTGTATAAATATCTGAGCAATGGTACTTCAGGTAGTTTTCTTTGAGGAAGAGGGCAGAAAGAAGTATTAGTAGAAGTACGGAATGTGACATATTTATATATATATGCAGTTTCACATTCCTCTAGGTTCAACAGGTTGTAAGGCAAGGGACAGCTTAGGCTACATGTTTACAGACGGGCATTACAGTAGCCAACTACTTATATGGTCATCTTGGTAAATGGGTTTCTGTCTTCTTGGAGTCTTTTACCTAATACATTCTTATTTATCCTTATTCCATGGCAGTTTGTTTGTTTGTTTGTTTGTTTGTTTGTTTTTGCCCATCCAGACTTTCTCTAAACTGACTCAAATTTAGCCAATGGCAACAAAAGATGCATCAATGTTGGTATAAATCTTATATGGGGCCTTTTACATTCTAGCAAATGAGAAATGTTGCAACTGAGGTTTTTTGATGACATACCAGTTATAGATGAAATAGGATCTACATTTTGACCCATTTCTGCAATGAGTCACTTTACATCATACTGTTTTAAAAGACAGGAGACTCAAGGTCTGAAGTGGTTACCTTTCTTCTCTCCATTGGTTAACCACGAATACAAATTCCATTGTTTACAATATGGACAAAACCAAAATTGTCATGGACAAATACATGAATATAACCAGTATTCCATAAAACTTTTTTTTTCATGTCAGAGCTGCCAGAAATAAGCATAAGTGAAATAAAATGAGCTCATTTCTCCCTCAAATACCTGAATATTCCAAATTAGCAACAATTCAGTGAATTATTTCAACCAAACTGTCATTCTGCTTCGGGTTATTATATCAGCCACTGAATTCCACATGTATAGACAGCCACTGTGAACATAAAACATTTATGCTGTTGCAGCATACTTTTCATGGCTGCAGGCGATCACCATTTTATATATAGCTTTAGTTTGATATTATTTTTTGATATCATTTTTGGTCACTGATCAATGTGAATATTCCTATCACAATGCCAGTCACAAAGTTTTTTCCCATCACAAGTGTAACACTGGATGTTGTTTTTAAGCACATTAATAGCGCAGCACTGCAATTAATTCACAGTGGTTGTCAAAAACAAAGTGAATCTTTTTTATGAGCACGGGGAACTTATTTTAGTATGAACTTTGCTCTTGGGAGGGAGTATTTCCTCTCACACGTAAGTCTGTTGATTCATACTGATTATGAGAGGAAGGAAAATTTGTAGGACGCCTAGCAGAATAACCTTTCCATTATAATTCTTAAATCATATAAAGGAGAATCCATCTCACACACACTTGGGACCAAAATATCTACCATATTATCTAGATCTACACTTTTGATACTAAGGTGATTACAAGATAAATATTCAATGACAGACAATCTTCCATTTGTAAGAAAAGGTCTCTGGCAGCAGCATATCCCTATATCATACATTATCATTGAGTGCACTGGATAACAATATACTAGTACTGATGTGCAAATCTAAAAGGCTACCTACTATTCCTTGGATAATAACTTTCTTTTATCTCTGAGCCACATATTTATTTATTTACTAGATATTTACAAAAGAAAAAGAAGAAGAAAAGGAGAAATGATGGTTTCAGAGAAGATTTATTGGCTTTTATATGCCCCATATCTACTGGTTTGGGCATTTTGCTTGAGATCTGTTATCCTGGCAACCGCATACTAAAAAGGGACATTAGTTAAATACCAGCTAATGTCTATCATCAAGATGGACATGGTATGTAGATCTCAAAATCTTTCCCTGCATATCTCTACTGCTTATGTCTTATTTGGGTTTTTTCTTCAACTCGAGCAGATTTTGTATGGAATATCAAACCCATTATTTGTGCTACAGAGCATGAAATGCACGTGACAACAAAACATTCCTAATCACAATATCTGTAATTTTTCTTTGGTGAAAAATATGCAACAGGTATACTATAAATTATAAAGGAACCTGCTCTATGTTTATCTCACTCTAAGGTATTTGAAGAACAATTATTACGACACACTTTTCAAATCATAAAAAAAAATGTGCAAACGTTGAAATCAACCAGATTCATCAACTACACTGAAAGCAACATTGAAATGAAGAAACAATGAAATATTTCACCAGTTCTCCAAATAAACTAAAACGTGCATTCTTGTATTAAGGACATTCCCCTTGTGATTACTGTCACATGTTCTGCACACCAATGACAAGTACAAGCTGTTACACTTTAGCCTTAACCTCCATCATCCATAAATTCAGCGAGCATCTGCCCATACGTATCATGGTTTTGAAAACCTTATGATACCAAAGTTATAAGTGAAGACAACAATACAGTACATTGGTTGCATAGATGGCTGGCCAGATTAGGTTAACATTCCATGTCTATTAGAGTGTAAAATTTAATGTCAATAATAGATGCATCTCTTTTAATTAAGTTTTAAGTGACGTTACCAGACAGCATGTGTATTTCAATTTCACTTTCTTCTTTTACAATTGTCCCTCACTCACCCCCCCCCCCCCCCCAATCCCCAAAACAAACACACCCAAAAACACATCAAATGCACTATGGTCAACCAGCCCTATTCCTCCTTATACTCTTTCTATGTTGCTGATTATAATTATTAATATACATATATATCATTCAAAACCTGATATTAGATCAGTCTACCTATATTCCAATCCCCTCCAGCAGTATCACTAGCATTTAGAACCAAAATTTACTCTTCACAATGCCCCTAGTTAAACGGTGTTTAAGCACAGGAATGCCTTATTGTAACTAAGCATCAGTGATCCAAATTCTATTTTTTCCTCTGGTTATATAAGCTAATAGTTCAGAAGAGTACCTCCCACCAGGATTTAAATCTCCCAGCCTGAAAATTTGGAGGCTTAAATATTGCCTCATCTTTGGTGTGCTAATCTATGTATATCTACATACTCATTAAGCTGCTGACATACAGTATATGAATCATAACTGATAGAAGCCTAATTCTCTGCCACAGATAGTTCAGCTTGTCTCTAGAACTAAAATAATAATATGAAAATCCTCAAATTTCTCCAATTTACTCATCTTACATAAATAAATGAATGTAAGTCTATCACTGAGGTTTTGATATCAGAAATATATGAACAACTGATAATACATTTTAACCCAAGCACTAGAACGAGTTCAAAGAAAATAAAGAGCAGGGGGCCAATATGAAATTACGTTTAGACCTATTTTACTATGAACAGAAAATGGGGACGCTGTTCAGGTACAATAAACCTGTTCTGAAAAGATAGAGATGGATTTTATTCCTATTTATAAGGTTACAGGGCAGCAAGCACATTGAATGGAAGCCGCATGCCACTGTTAACCTTCACTTCAGTTACCACTGAGGTGATAAGGTGTACTAAAGATGACCAATTCAGCGGGATACTATCTACTATAAGCTATAGCATAGTGGCAGGGTGTTACTGATGTAGATACTAGATGTCCAGTAGCTGTGAGAGATCAGAAGTAATAACATGGTGCCAGCCAGTGCCACATTATAGCACCAATATTTGCCCTCTTTCTTTCTAGATAACCTATGCTGATAGGTCTCCATTTTTTTTGGTAATAAGTAGTTCTGAACAAAACATAGGTTTCACATCACAAATATAAGAAAAGAAACACATCTGCCAAGAAGTGGCAGATGCAATTTTAGAAAATCATGACTCAATTTTTCAAAAGAAATTTTTGCTGATATGAATGGTACAAAGTCGCTCCATTTGGTGTCACAGTAAAACAATACTTTGATGACCTAAATATGCACAGACTTAATTATCTAACTTATTGTAGTTGAATCATTAAACTTTATCATGTTCATGTGACTCATTTACAGCATTTAAATTCTGAAAAGACCAGGGTTAACATGCATGCTTCTTCTTTAAACTCGAACAATTATCCAATACTAACCTAATACTTAATTCAAAGAAAACAGTTGTAAACCACTGAAATTTAGTAATAAAATTCTTAATCTCTTGTTTGGCAGAGAAAGAAAGGCCAATTCAGAATATCTTTTAAATCACACCAATTATGCATGTTTTTTCCCCCAATAAAAACAACTTCAGTTAAATATGTGCTGCATATAACAAGGCACTCACTGGTTGACCTCTTTTGATTATGGAAAGGGAGATGTTTCCATTTGATTTGAATGAATTGCAATCTAAACTTAAAATTTGACTTGTTTCAAATTCAGTCTCTATGTAATAAATAGAACATCTTTTAAAATAACCACTTGTAGTACTCCAAACTATAAGCAAACTTTGCAAAGGTCATCTGACAATGTCACGATCTTAGGTCTGTTAAGACAAAGTAATAAAGAAAGTGCTGCATTCAGAGGTTTGGGGAAAGAGAGAGTAAGAAATAGATTGAGTGTGATGACTTACATTTGGTAGTCCCAATTCCTCCAAGGCTCTCAACCAGTGGTTGATATTGTCTGTGTGTCGGAAATGTAATCCCCGGACCTATGTAAAAAAAAAAAACATTCCAACAGATTATTGATATGAAATATTAAGTATCTATAATCATTTATTATTAAAGTGAGGATTATAAATTAATAAAGTGGCTGATTTTTATACATTAATAAAAAATACACCACCTTGTATCTCTCTTGATCTTTATCATAGATTTTCTTTAAAGGCACCAAATCTGGTTTCATAAAATGTGCCAATTTTGCCAAGTATACTCCATTTCTCAGTCCTTCTTCTACCTCAGTGGTAGCTGGCAACTGATCATTGATACAGGCTTCTATCCATCTAAAAAAAAAAAAGAGACAAAAAATTAAATTTCAGAATCATTCTTGTGAACAGACAGCCAGAGAGAGAGAGAGAGAAAGAGGGAGAAACAGAGGAAGGGAGACAGAGAAATTGCATTTGAATAAATATCATGAAAAAGGTAAGGCTAAAAGTGGGAAAACACTTGAAGCAAATTGTGATCACTTCAGATTTCAATGCACCACCGATAGGAAACATTCAATATAGACTGAACTAGTGACATCATGGGGCCCTTTTGTTTATGACATATGACTGACTCCACTTTTTATTTTTTATTTATAAAATCATATTCTGTGAGCTTGACCTAATTCTTTACAGCATCATAAAATGCTTAAAATGCAATGAAATGATAAAGGTCCACTGCACACTTCTTAACTCTTTAAAACAATGGCTTTCTGTTCTGACCAAACTGAAATATTAATGATAATATGTTACCTGAAAATTGGCCCCTACCATGCTGCTTAGCCTTCTACAGGTACTATATAAATACAATTTGCTCTTACTGTATGTATAGTTCAAAAGCCACATATTCAACCCAAATAAAAATAAGGTGATAATTGAGATTTCCTGATTTAAACAATAGTAGTTTATATACATTCATTTATCCAATGAACAAATAACTTTGTAAGGATTTTCAGTTGTGGCTTTTGTTGATTTTACCTTGCAAACACCCACAAGGCTATTAAAGCTCGTTTGGATCCTGCAAGTCAGTAACAACAAGCATGCAAGAATGTCATCATTGTTCATCACAGCTGCTATCAGGACTCACTCCAATATATATTTTGTATTTCCATTTTCTATCTAACATGCTAGCAAAAACAGTAAAACATTTTTATTTAGAAAAAAGATAATTATACTTAAAACAATGAAATCAATTAATGACACAGGATCTGATGTCAGAAAGTTAGGGAAAATTCTTATATCAATTGAAACAGATAATTAGACTACTTAAAATGTGGAAGGGAAATTCCATTTAACTGATGCACAGGATATCAGCTTACTTTTGAAGTAAAAAAAAGACATCCTCTAAATAGACACATTCTGAACATATCATAGTTTCAATGTTCATTCATTTCTTTCATGATATATTTCTGGATTCTAGCAGACTTCCTGATCTGAGCTGCGCATAATGAAAAATGTCACATGAAAACACCAAAGACCAGAAGTTTTCAAAACAAAACCTTATGTCTTCTGAATGATATTAATCTTTATGCAAAAGTACCTATCACAATATGATGTATCATGTATTTATAGCCCAATGTGCATTTCATTAGCTTATTAAGCAAAACATATAATGTGCCATATGATAGCAAACCTGACTAGGTCAGGTAGTATAGAGGCAATGTCTGCATATTATACGAGATGGCAAGCCCTGTTACATGCATTACAATAAAGACTTTATAAGCTGTGATGCTGTGATCACAACTGTTTGTGTATTCAGCAGACTTCCTAGACCTCTAGAGCCAATGAATCACATACAGACCCACCCACATAATAATAGAAAACCACATCATCTAAATAAATCTCAAAAAAGGTTCAACAAAGCAAAAAGTTATCTTTCCAATCATTTGGTGTTAAAATAGAAGAAAAGACTTATGCTAGACAATGCAAAAAAGTATAAATATAAGGTCTTGTAATTTTTCAGCACTCTTTTTCTTAAAAATATAAGTAGTCCAATCATTTCACCTGGTAATCAAAATTCAAATGGACCTGAATAAAAACTAAAATATATAGTTATGAAGACCTCTCTCTCTCTCTCTCTCTCTCTCTCCATTGGTTTCAGACAAAAGTAGGACAAAAATA